GAGCGCGCGCCGCGGGAACGTGGCCAGCAGGTAGTGCGCGTACGCCTGGTGATCGTGCACGAGCGCGTAGAGCAGCGCCTCGGACGGCGAGTAGGCGGCGGCGCGCCCGCGCTCGTCCCAGTGGAAGGCCTCGCTGGCGCGCATGTCCTCGAGCAGCCACACGGGCAGCAGGTCCCGCACCGCCTGGTAGAAGGCGAACGACGACTTGCGGCACTGCTTCTGCGCCCGCGAGCGCGCGGCGCCCGCGCCCTCGGACCCACCGTCCGCGCCGCCCCCGGGCCGCCGCGCGTCCCACGGCATGCTGGCGGAGGGGCGCCTCCCCGGCTCAGGGCATGGGCCTGGTGGCCAACCACCTGCGGACAGAGGGGATCCCAGTGAGGCCTCGGCCCCGCCCCTCGCCGGGCTCTACCTGGGAAACGGAGGCTCTGAGAGGGGACTCCCGTCCTCCCTCACCCAGCCCCACCCGTCCAGGATTCTCGTACCTGCCTCCAGTCTCCGACTGGCCCTTCCAGTCACTCCTCACGGCTCACTTCTGTCCTAGGCCCTGAAACACCTCCCACATCCTTGATCTAGCTGGACCTGATCTCCCACCCTGAAACTGTCTTGTTCTGAGACCTCTGTTAGAGATGCCCTTCCCTGCCCCTGCCCTCACAGCTCCACCCACTGGCAAGGCCACACTGAAACCCCACCCTCTACCCCCTCCAGCCCGGGGACCCCTGAAGAGTTCCTGCTCCCACCTGCGGTAAGTGCATCGAACCCCAAATAGAGAAGAGGCCAGGTAGTGGGGTTGGAAAGCTGTGGCCCACATCTCAATCCTCTCTGTAGCTCAAGCTCCCTGTCCCCAGCCCCACCTAACCTTGATCCTGTCCTCTGACCCCCGACCTCGCATGGGGGCCCCTAGAGCCTCCCCCCAGGCCGGCCAGAGCTCTAGACTCAGACCTACCTGGTTCCTGCACCGCGATCCCGCGGTTCTGAGGAAAGAGGTGTATCACTTTCCTTCTCTGTGCCTCGGCTTCCTCATCTGTAAGAAAGGGCGGGGGATGCAGGCTATGACCTCAGCAGGGCGAGTCTGGGGGTGGGGCTCTAGCCTTGCACCCACACATGGCGTTTGCTGGATGTCAGCATCCCTAGCTCCGGGGACGAGGCAGGAGGGCAAAGTCAACCTAGAGACTGGTGTTGACAACACTTTACAGTCTGCCGATCCCCTCAGGTCTGCTACCTCTCTTGATCTTCCCAACTATTAGAGGAAGTAGGTACTGTCATCCCATTTTTCAGCAAGGGACAAGCTTGTCCAAGGTCAGTCAGCGAGTCATGGTAGAGCCAGGCCCAGAACCCAGATCTCCTGCCTCGCATTTGGGGCTCATTCCAGACGTGAGTGGACCCCCAACCCACGGGGAGCCCATCTTGAGCCCTGACTTTGCCCTCTGAGCCCCCAGCCCCAACCTGAGCCCTGGCCTCTGACCCCTGGCCCCGGCCCAAGCTCCCCACAGCTTTCTCGCAAGGGTAAGCCCTTGGTCACAGGCTGCGTCCACACACACTGGGTAACTAAGTTACAGAGATGGGCGCGGCAGGGGTGGGCTGCAGCCACAGCGCCCTTTTGGGGGGACAGCATGGCTGGAGCAACCCCCCACGCCTGGGCCTCCGCGCCCCAGGTGTACCCTGTGTGAACACCGTGGGGCGCCGGGCGGGTTACGTAAAGTTGGGCCGCCCCACGTCACTGGGCAACGAGTCACGGCCGCGGCTCCGTGAACGGGGTTGGACCACCGAGGGCAGGGCCGCGCGCCCGGGGCCGCCCGCCAGCTCCCTCCTCTCCTCCGGCGGCACGGCCGGATCATGGGCGGCCGCGGGTCACGGGAGGCGCGGCCAGGGTGTCTGCGGGCCGGTGGCCGGCGCAGCGAGGGCTGCACCTGCCTGTGCGTGTGCCCAGGGGGCCCGGCAGCCAGGAGGGCAGCGCCTGGGGCGGGGACTGCGCGCGGGGCCGGCCGAGGAAGGAGG